GGTACACAGGGGCCCAGGAAGATCAGAGATCTTGTGGCTAAGACAAGATTTCTCCAACTTGCTCACTAGTTATTGCATATATCACATATGACAGGGCATGGAGAGAAGTGCAGGGAACAGCTGAGGCAAAAAGGTGTGAAAGTAAGCAAGGCCTTGAGAAAATGAAGCACAGACATTTCAAGAAGTAAATCTTTGCTTAATCTTTGCTCTAAGGTTAACAATTGTTGCCTTGAAATTCTGAGTGAGATTTAGTGCCCTCAGCTGCCGTGTTATCTTGCCTTCAGAGACTTCACACTGTCGTGGTTCACCACAGGCCTCCACCATGACCATTGGCATGGAGGGTTCTATTTCTGCATGCCAGCCACTGGCTCAAAAGGCAAGTCACATAGGCCTGGGACAGACTCTTAAGTTAATATAGAAAGCCAATTGATTAATACTTAAGCTTGCCTTGCACCACCTCAAAGTGGTCTCCAATCATACATTGTCCTGGCAGAGTTACCAAAAGTACAAAACTGGACAGGATCTTTTGATTGATACAACAGAAATGAGACTGCATCAAAAACTGCAAGCACATACACGGACAAGGTTTGGGAGGATCAGGAGCATTGACGCTTTAGCTGAAGGGAATCAGCATCAATTGAGAGAAAGACCAGTTGCTCACAGAACAAAAAGAGCAATAAGTTTTTATTGATTTGCTGTAAATTTCCACTGACCAAGGACACAGTTCCAAAAGACATTTCTTCATGTGACCACCAAGTGATCACAGTCGACTTATCCAAAATGTTGAATTTCTGTATAGTCACCAACATCATGCTGTGTCAAATATCCCAGCCTTCTGGGGCTGGGACTGAAAGACTTCAGGTGCTTTGGCTACTGTAGCTGTTGAAGGAGCACAAGGGCAGGAAACAGGAAAAGAAGGAAGACAGAAAACATCTAACAGCCCCAATGGGCAATCATCATGTCTACAGGCAGAGCTGACTGAATCTGACATAAAGGTGAAGGCAGCAAAGTGGATAACATGATGGCAGATAGCATGATGATAGATAACATGATGACAGAGATAACATGATGACAGAGATACTGTGCATAACATGATGACAGAGATACTGTGCCTTTTTAACTGTTCCAGGCACCCGTCAGACATTTGTAGGCCCAAATGAAGGGTTAGGGTTTTCAGCAAAAGCAGCCTTCAGATCCCTGAGTAGTAACATAGGCAACTATTCTCATAACCCACACCTCAGAGTTGTTACCTACTGCAAAGCTAGGGCAAACTTATAATGTAGGCCCTAATCATTTTCTCAGGTAAGACACAATACCTGATACCACCAAATTAAAGGAAAAGAGGTTTATGTTGGCTCATGTCTACAGTCCATGGTTGGTGGGCTCCAAGGCAACAAAAGGGAGTAGCAGGGGAGAAGCTGCTCACATCAGGGAAGCCAGGAAGCAGAGAGAGAAGGCAGGATACAGGGAGGGAGATGCACCCTCCCAGGTCACCCACTGACCTGCCTCTTCTGACCCACTTCCTAACAGCAAGTCAGCTGTCATGCCCATAACCCAATCCCCTTCCCAAAGCCCTGCCTCTGAGCATGTGAGGCTTTGGAGGGACATCTAGATTTGAACCATAACAATGCATTACCCAGCTACGTGACCTCCGAAACTAGTCATCCTTAAGTCAGCTAAGGACAAATGAAGCTAAAGATTTATGTTTCTGCTCACTAACAATTCTCTTTACTTATGCAAACATCCTGCTTCTGTGGTTTTATCAGTCTCATGACAGGTCTGCTGAAGAGCACAAATGTGGAGCAGCAGCCTGCATGCTACAAAGGTTGCTGCACCCAGGGGGTGATTTTTTGCCCCAGCCTTTGTCCCACCATAGTGGTTTCCAACAGTCTCAACAAGGCTGTCTATGTTCCACAACAAATTCCCTTGGTTCCTTGTCACCTGCTCTCTTCCTGCTCCCTGACTCCTGAATCTTGTGTTTTCCCATCCTGTTTCACAGGCCACGGGCAGCCCATGGAAGCTGTCAGAGTGACTGTAAACTCTCCATCGGTTAGAGCTCTGGTCCTGAGTCCCCAAGTCCCTCCTTCTCACCTCCACTGTCCCCTCCTGCCTACAACCCCACCCATAAAGGCTCTCTCCATCTAAGGGCATTTATCATCCTACTTCAGGCTCTTGTCCATCGCTTGCAGCAGTAGATGATACCGGCCAATTAGCAAGGCCACCCAGGCTCCAGCGAGCCAATGCCTCCTCTCTGGAGGTGTCCCGCTGGCTGCTGAGGAATGTGAGCCATCTGGCCAACAGATCTCTCTGTGCTAACAAGCTTGACATAAGGCCAGCTGCAGTAGTGATAATTCCTGACTAATGGCCCGTTGGCACCTGCCCTGCTCTGCACACCAGCTGAAGCTCCCGCACATTCGGTGAGATGCTGGTGTCACACACACCCCCATTCATCACATGGGTAAATTAGCTGAGGTTCCAAAAGGGAGGGGCTTTGGCCTCACACTCTTGGTGACAAAGCCAGAATAAGAACCTAAGCCTCCAGACTTTCAGCCGTCAGCCTTTTCCTACCATCCCACTCTATCACCTCTATTCAGAGGCCAGGAATGCCTCTATGCGATCATGCCACCCTGTTTCCAGGCTTTAGTTGAATTGTTTCATTTAATGCTTCTCTGGTAGCTTTCTTCAGAAATGCCCCCACACACATTTCCTCCTCCCTGGGTACCTGCTGCTTTTCATAGCAAAGAGAGAGTCATTTCCCCTCCTCTTAGATCTGGGCTGGCCCTGGAGTTGCTTTGAAAGACTGAATAGAATGTGGGTGAAGGGACATTCTAGGGCTTCTGAGCCCAGGCCTTATAACGATTGTCAGCACACGCGGAGGACAGGGCCCGCCGGGCAACACCACAGCTGAGCTCTCAACTAGTGGCCAGCATCCAATGCCAGCCATATAAGTGAAGCCTTTTTGGCTCCTAGAGCCCCAGCCAATAAGAAACAACAATAACAAAATCTACCCATCAATCCACACAATCTTGAAAAATGTGTTGTTTTAAGCCATTATATTTGGTAATATTTTGCTATGTCACAATAGCTAAGTGGAAGAGAAGTTTGTCTCTGGTAGTGGATGCTGCTGTAACAAAACTTAAAGCCTGTGACAATGGTTTGGGACTAGGCATCAAGCTGAGCCTGAATGTCTTCAGGGAGACAATTAGTGAAGGCTGTGAGGACAGAGATGAAAAAACAACTGGACATTGGAGAAAAAGCCTGAGGTATGGACTGTTCCTCATGTTTGCAGCTCCTATACAGTACTTATTTATTGTTTGTGTGTTTGTTTATACCACTGGGAATTAAACCCAGGACCTTTCATGTGCTATACAAGTGCTCTACCACTGAGCAGTATCCCCAGCCACAGCTCTTTTATTCTTTAGGGTTTTTGCTCTCTATATTGGCTTTCCCTGTTTATCTTGAGACACTGATAAACACAATCTGGACAATAGCCCTACCTAAGGTCCCAGCTAGTGGCCAGCACCCAATCTAACCCTGTGAGTGAGGCCACTTTGGACCTTCCAGCCATCCTCATACTGCAAACCTCATGCATAGGAGAGAAACTGCCTAGAGAGCCCACAGAATCATGAGAAATGATCGATGTTGTTCCAAAATTCTCCTTCTGGAGTGAATTTTTGTGTGGGATGGAGGGTCTCGTGGGAGTTATTTCCAGGTTCTTCACATTCCAAACAAAGATTTGAGCAGGATACTCAAGAGGAATAACACGAGTAAGATTTTTGAGAAGCAAAAGAAGCAAAGGTACACACGCCAGTGAGACTAGCTCAGAGCTCCAGTAGAGGCAGGAGGTATTGGGTCTTTTAAAGTCCTGGGATTATAAGAGGATCTATAGCTGAGGGATTGGCAGGAATCATAGTCCAATGGGGAACCTGCTGTGGTCCCCCTATTAGGAGGAGGAGTGTTTGCCCATACAAGGTTTTTAGAGGAAGTGTCATAGCTCTTAAGGCCCCTGGAGGAGAAACAAAATTGCAATGCAGATGAGGTTGGAGGCAGGCAGGGACATGTACTTGTGGTGTTGCACATGCTTGGAGATCTTGGGGGAGTGGGGGCCGGGTGACCTTTATGTATTGGTTTCCTGATATTTTGCCATAGTCATCCTTGCTCTCTGGTTTCTCCATTCTTTGCCCCACTACTTCCTGTTGTTTACTTGTCCTTGCGCTACCTCTTATTCAGCAGTTGTCTGTAACCCATTCCCATAGCTACCATCATCCCTTCTTACCTATGAAGAAGGTAAAGCCCAGCAAGGATGGGTGACTGCCCACAATGACAAAACTGCCGAATAGCTGCACCAAGGTTCAAACTAAATTGGTATGCACAAACACCACCACTCGGGGAGCTAGCAGCAATTTTAGGACAGTCTAACCTCTGTCCCACACGGGCCAAGGAAACCAGAGATCAGAGGATAGAAACAACTGACTCAAGTCACCCGTGTGGTAGGTGGCAGCCAGAATGCTGAATCAGCAGTCCAGAGCTCCTGCCTCCCAGCCTGGCACCATTCTTCCCCACAGAGACACCCTCTCTTTTCTGCTGTTTCTGCCCCTACACAACACCTCATGTGGCACCTCTACTCCAGGAATGCCCTTGAAGGGAGGAGGGGCAAAATTCCTAGGGGACATCTGGCCAAACCTAGAGACATGTTTGGTTGTCACACGGCTAGAAGACAGCAACACCACACAGGCCAGCTCCAGAAGTTACCCGCAATGCCCAGAGTACTGCCACTCAGGCTTCCCGGTTCGAGAAACTCAGGGTCCACAAGACTTCTAGCCCAAGCGTCAGCTGTCATTTTCCACAAGGGCTAGGTGGCTCCAGGCCAGCTGGGCAGCACTTGGGTGGTCATACACACCCACTAAAAATGCCTAGGGGCGTGGCCAGGTCCCAAGGAGCACCTATCACAGCAGGGCCAGGGCATTTTCCAGACTCTGAGGAGGCAGGTTTGATTTGCTGCAATGAGTTTATTGGAAATACGGAGTGAAACAAAGACAAACACGCAGGCAGCTGAGTCATCGGCTCTTTAGAAGCTTCTGCAGGCAACCTTGGAAGGAAGGTGCCCTCCCTCCCTGGGACAGATCCCTCCCGTAGTTAAAGGAAACCAGCAGGAGTTCAGGTTCCCCATCTCCATTCCCAGGCTCCCTGAAGTGTTGGTGGGCAGATGCTGGGGCCTGTCTTATGCCTTCAAGTTTGGGAGAAAGGGTCAGACAGACCAATGAATCCAGCAAAACCCAGGCAGAAGGAAAGGATGGCTCCTCAGAAGAACAAACTGATACTAGGAAAGCCTATTAGTAGGAAAGGCTACAGAAAGAGACCCAGGCACACCCTGCCCGTGCTTGGCACTCAGAAGCAAGCAGGCAGGAAGGGTTTGCAGGTGTGCACGTGGGGGAACTGCATGGGGGAGACTGGTGGTAGCGGTGTGAGGTCCTGGCTGGGTGGAGGGTGGTAGTGAGGGTCTGTTGCTTGCGGCAGCTGAAGCCTCCTAGCACTTCTTACAGCCACCGCTGCAGGCACTGACCCCAGCACAGGGGGCACAGGCGTTGGGGGTGCCTACCACCACGTTGCCGCTGCAGGGTGCGCTGCAGACTCTGGTGTTGACAGCAGGAGAAGTACCGGAGGCACAGAGATCGCCACAGACGACGCCACCGCGGGAGCTGCTGACACCTGAACGCAGGAAGAACAGGCAGTGGCCGTCAGGCATGGCCATGGCCAGGCAGTTTCACAGCAAAAGCAAGTGCCCCCTCCCCAAAGGGCCTCAGGCCACACCCACTGGAGACGGGGACAGCTGGGACTACTTACACACATTGACGGCGCCAACGCCCTCACACAGCCTGTGGGAGAGGAAAGGGGACAGGTCAGTGCCATGGGAAAACCACAGGGACCAGTAGCCAGGTGCAAGGTAAGATCTGGGTCCTTCCTTGGGGAACTTGCGAAGAGGGAGGCACAGGAAACAGTTAAGCCAGGAACAAGGCACTGTTGGGCTTCTGGAGACACTGCCTGGGAATACCCTGCTCTCCACCGCACCTGGAGTCTAAACCGCCCTGGCCATGGGTTTCCACATGAGGAAAATCTCAATATTCACAGCACTTGGTAGCCAGCACACTGAGAGCCCTTAAGAACCACCAGCTGCTACAGATTTTGTATTGGTTCCGGTTGAATTGCAAGGGCATTTGAGGAGAGTAGAAGGAGCCCTGGTTGCTATCACTGGAATGTAGGCCCGGAGGAGGGCAGAAGTTTTTATCTGTCTTCCCCACTCCCTAAAAACAACACCGGGCTCAATAAATAACTGGTGGAGGAATGAATGAGACTTTGGAACCCATTTAAAACAGACTCCAAGACTACTACGACAATTCTCTCATTTCACAAGAGGAGAAGCCAAGGCCCAGAGAGGAAATGACCAATGACAGCAGCAGAACTAGACTCCTGACAGCCTGCATTTCCTCCAACATAACATTGTCTCCCTCAAGGGAAGCAAGCAGAGTTGCCCCAAACACACAGTGGCAAAGTGTTGGCCAAACAGGCTCAGATAAAGCAAGACTCTGCAGCCACCATCAAATAAACCATCTCTTACCCGGGTTGCCTAGGTAACTACACCAAAGCTTCTGCCTTTACTCCAAGAGCATTCTGTGGTGGATAGAGGGGGAGCCACACAATTTCCAGTGCTATTTCCACGGGTCTCTCCAACTTCCAAACCCAAACTTTAGGACCCGCTTTGGAATACTCATTGTTATTACAACAGGTGAGTGTGAGTGGATGGAACCTCCTGTCTGAATTCAGTTACATCTGAAGTTCAGGGATGGGGATAGGGCTGGACCAGAGCCGAAGTTCTGAGGGACACAGGGAATCAGGGCTGGGAGAGCAAATGCACTATGCAAGGAAGGTGGCCTCAGGAATGAAGTAGGCTTTGGGGGAACAGAAATCACTGTCTGTTGACACAAGGCAAGTCACAGCTAAAGCAGCTGCCAGCTCCACGTCAGGGGCTGGGTAAGCATGAGAAGTTCAGATAGGGCTAGATCATACTCAAAGGACTTACACAAATTTCCTATACAGTTGCAGGACGGTGAGAGATGGAAACAGACGTTGGTGGTGTCAGGAGAGACAGGCACTCCAAAAACCCAGGCAGAGCTGGGAAAGTTAAAAAAAAAAACAACCTACAAAACCCACCTCTGCTCCTCGCCCTCTAGCAGGCGCCTGTAGGTGGCGATCTCGATGTCCAGGCCCAGCTTGGAGTTCATCACCTCCTGGTACTCCTTCAGCAGGCAGGCCATGTCCTGCTTGGCCTTCTGCAGGGCTTCCTCCAGCCCGGCCAGCTTGCACTTGGCATCGTTGAGAGTTGCCTCACCCTGCTGCTCAGATTGAGTCACCGCTGTCTCCAGCTTGGTGTTCTGGGGGCCCAGGAGAGAATGAAGTGGGTTATGCTCCATGGTTTTCCAGGTTCATTCCCTGGATGTGTCCAGTCTCAGCCACACAGCTGGAAACTACCCAGAAACAAGACCTTGCCCTGAGTGACCACAAGCAGGAACTCTAGGCATGCAAATGGGCTGGAGAATGAATGGTGGGGGTTAGACAGGGTTGCGTGACACCGGGCGGGCCATACCTGGCACTTGGCATTCTCAATCTCGGCTGTCAGCCTCTGGATGATGCGGTTCAGCTCGTTGATCTCCTCCCTGGTGCGGCGCAGGGTCTCCCCATGGCGGATCACTGTGGCCTTGATCTCCTCACACTGGGGGAAGCAGAGGTCCTCATGAGACTCAGGAAGATTCAACAATCCACTCATTCAGGACAGCACTGAAAACTATGTACATTCTACTGTGCCTGTACTACTGCGCAGGGCAACCCTGTCCTGTCACTTCAACCAGAGAACCATTGACCTTCCACCATCCCTAGAGATCAGAATCTTCAGACAAAACAAACCTTTCCTATTAGACACATCACATCCCCTCCACTGTCCTGCCTAGAAGACTGATGTCCTGAGCCACTCACCCTGGTGCGGTACCAAGACTCAGCCTCCGCTCGGCTGCGGGTAGCAATGTCATCATACTGAGCCTTGATCTCAGCCACAACGCAGTCCATGTTCAGGTCCCGGCTGTTGTCCATCTTGACGATGACCGAGGTGTCTGAGATATGGGACTGGAGAACGCGGATCTCCTGCAGGAGGACAGGAAGAGGAAGGAAACCAAGTTATGAGGACACTCCCCCGCCCCAGTGCCTATAATCCTTTGGCTGCTCTGAAGCTCACCTCCTAGGTTTGGAGCTGAAATACCCCCATGAAAGGACAAATTTTCTTATAAGTCCCCAGTGATGCCCACATTTCAGGTGCTTGTTTCTGGAATTATTCAGGTACATGTGAACTCAGGCTGCTTCCCAAGTTTCCCCAGGTGACAGACTGGGTGTTAGGGCCTTGAATGTTTCCCTTAGATCAACCCCATCAATGCTGGCTGCCAGAGAAATCCCGGGGCCCTAGACATGGGCCAAGTCTGTCTATTGCTTTGGAGGCCTCTGTTGCACCCCCTGGCTCAGGGGAGGACACAGGATGGCCTCCCAGGCACAGCTGTCCTGAAGGTCTCACCCTCTTGTCCCCCCGAACTGGTCTAGCTTGGGGTCTCCATTCTTCTTCCTGTTCCTTCCTGTCCTTACACCTCAGCCTTGCCTGTGGGGTTTGGGCAGGGGTGGGGGACCCTATCAGAGCCATGCGTGTGCCCACCATGGCTGTGAGCGCCTCACCTCCTCGTACAGTCGCCTCAGGAAGTCGATCTCCTGCAGCAGCGCCTCTGAGTTGGCTTCCAGGTCTGACCTGCGCAGGTAAGCGCAGTCCACATCCTAGCAAGGTGGAAGTGTTTGAGCCCAGAGCGTCTTGCTGACTGTGCCACAAACCCATCTCTCTTCTTACCCAGTCCAGGCAAGCCTGGGGTAGGGGTCCCCAGTGTTCCTGTACTAAGCCATCTCGTCCCTTCTCATCTTCCCATTGCCCAGCACGCCACAGGCATTTGTGAGAACGAACCCTGAGGTCCATGAACAAGGTTCATCCACCTTTCAGCCCTCCCATCTCTGCTTCAGTCCCTGTCCGGCTTCAAGCAGCTTACCCAGATCACTCCCATCTCTGCCACCTGACCCTGCCACCCATAGTAGTTCTCCCAGAGGCTGCCCGGCCAATCCTGCTTCTGTTCCACCCCCACCACCACCCTGACCTTGGAAGTGTCTCCTTGTCTCCTAGTCAAACTTCCAGAATGCTAAAGAAACCACAGCATCCATCAGAAAGTCTGAAGCTCTGTAGTTTCTTGGAACCCAAGCCATAGGCCACCGCCTCTGAAGCAGAGTTCAGTGCAGCCATCCTCCTGCCCAGGGCAGGTGCCAGTGGGTATCCAAGGTCATTACCATTTGTCCAAGCCCTGCACACATCATTCAATGCCCTGCCTGTCTGGAAATTTCCCAATTCTGATATCAGAATGTCAGTGTAGCCCATACTGAGTCTGAACCCCTGGTCTCCCCAGATGAGTCTGTCCTGAGGTTCTTGTGTTTCTGCTTCCCGTTTCCATGCTACTTGCCTTCTTCAGAGTCACAAACTCATTCTCAGCTGTGGCTCTCAGAGAAACTTCCTCCTCGTACCTAGGTAGAAGACAATTGGGTGTCAAGGTAGGGCAGGGTTTCCCTCCCTGCCCTCCCACTCCATACCAGTGAGGAGGCAGGGGAGGAATTTCACGCACAGCTGGGCCCTGCAGTCTTGCCAAGCCCTTTCTGCCCTGTGTCAGGGGTTTTCCCTGCCAGCTCTGAGTTGCAAATGTAAAGGGCTAAGCTGGGACTTTCCAATGCTCTTGCCAGGAATGCTCTAAAGTCATCTTTAGAGGCCCATTAGGATGAACCCTCCAACTCTGTCAGCCTGCCGCTATTGACCCACTGTTCTCTTGGAACTCTCTTAGAGTCTGTGCCCTGGGCAACCCAAGGATCCCCAGCGCCTCAACACCTCACCCGGCCATACTCACCTCTTCTTGTAGCCTTCCAACACCTCCTGTGCGTGGTTGAGCTCAGCAGCCAACCTCCCACTGTCAGCCTCTACACATTCAGCCTCCCGCCTCAGCGTCTGGATGTAGCCCTCAAACAGCGGCTCCAGGTTGCTCTGGCAGCACTCGCGGTTCTGGTAAAACTGCAACTTGGTCTCCAGCAGCTTGTTCTGCTGCTCCAGGAAGCGCACCTGCACAGACGGGCAGTGGGAAGGACAGGTCAAAGAGTGCCTGCTGCCCCAAGGCCTGCTCTGGGAGTGATTGTGGGAAAGGGACTCCAGCCCCAAGGCTCAGCAAGTACAAGGCAGAGGTGGGCTGTGGGCTCCAGGTCACTTCTGCTGGTACTGCTGTCAGGTGAGCTGAGTTACCCAAGCAGGTAGGGCCAACCGACACATGTCCAGTGGCGATTGTCAGGCGCTACCCAGAGCTCAGCACCCCTCCCTGAAGACAATGAGCTAGCAACCCCTCAGGCTGTGCACCCAGATTCAGATCATAGACTGGGGTATGGGGGCAGGAGCCAGGCAGAGGAGGTCACAGGTCATCTGTGGAGAGCTCAGCTAGCTTCCCTGACCTCTGCCCCACTTCCCATGGTTGTCAGGCACCCCTACCCTTCACAGGGAACACAGCTCTCAGGCTGGGGCTGCCTGGTTTCCCTGGTTCTAGCAGCAGCAGCAGCAACTGCATTGCTCCTGTGCTTCTTGCAGTCTGGCCTGTGTCCAGTCCAACCTACCTGCACCTTTCCCACAAGCTCTGCTTCTCTGAACTGCCTGTAGTGTATTTCTGGGTCTGTATCCGTGTGTGTGTGTGTGTGTGTGTGTGTGTGTGTGTGTGTGTGTTCCTCTCCCCTCAAAGTGTGGTCTCACTGAGGCAGAGATCTT